GAATATGAACACAGATTTATGAAGCAATAAAAATATATTTGAAACTTCAGTATAATAGATGTTTGCTGTTCCCCATTCTAAATTATTTAGTCTGTGTCTTAGAACACTTCCAAGAAGATGCTTAAGTAGATTTTAGATAAGGATTTCAAAGACTTTAATGAAGGTCAGATGGCGTTTTCCTGCTGATGAGGGGAGGGAGGATGTGTCACAGTAAAAGGCCTATTCTTTAGAAGAACTAGTGAACATTTATAATGGGCGCAGAAGCAATTGGTCCCATAATGTCATTTAATTAAATTTTTAGTTCTTTTTTGTCTTCTGCATCCATCAAAATATCTTGTTTTTTTTTTATGACTGTGGAATTAATAAATTCCAAGTTTTATTTGCATAGGTGTCTTAGTTGAGATGTATTCTGAGGACATCTGGGTCAGAAATAGAACACCCATAAGTAAGGTTCCTTAGATTTGGCAATAATGCTGCAATAATGAAGCGGCCTCCCGTAGGATTATATGTATGTTTGTTTTTATTGAACTTGTATATCCAGGTCCCTTAGCTGGCTCAAGAAATCTCTTCTAGAATGTTGTTATTTTGTCTACCCAAATGTCATTTCCTGATAAATTCTGGATTCCAGCAATGAATTTTCAGTCACAAGACTTGATTCATTGGCATAGTTGAGAGGAATATTTGGAGCATTATTATTCTACAAAATTTGGGTTTTTTAAAAAATTATATTGCTTCAGAACAAAAGAGCTATCTGAATTCATAACTGGTTCCCGGCATAGACTTCCATGCTTATATAATGCTAATACCAATAGGATTCACAAGTATGTGAAATAAAGTTGATAAAGAAAAATCTAAGCTATCAACCTAACCTTAAATATATTTTGCTTTCTACTTTATACTGGAGTGATCATAGCCTCTTCTGTCCCACATTCTTCAGCCAGAATGCCCCCCCCCGCAGATTTTCCCCACCCCTTTGTTATTGTCTGAGAATACTCTGCAGCTTTTGGCACCATGATAGGATTGTCAATAAATTAAAGGAAGCTCCCCAAACTGCACCCCCTCCCCAAGTGTTACCTAGATGAGGTGCAAGCAGGTGCAAGCTATCCTGATGAGACATAGAGGCATTACAGTTCTTCTTGCTTTCCACCAGGTGGCAAAGTCCAACAGGTATCTAATGGGGCTACATTAAGAAGACCTTGCAGCCCCACAAGGGGCAGCACAGCACGACTGCAAGTGGAGAGTTGTATGCCCTTTGCTAGTTAAAAAGAGGATCAGAGTTAAACATTTGTGCAAGAGATGTCTTGACATTTATTACTTACTGTTTTCTTAAAAGGAGTACTCACATCCTGCCTTTCTAAGTCAAAATGTGACCCTTTCTAAGTAACTAGCATCAGAATGCAAAACGTAGGCAGAAAGGCATACTCAAAAGCATAAACACAAAAATAAAATGAAAACAGAAGCAAACAAACAAGAGATACAATTGTAAAAACAAAGGGCTGCAGCAAAAGCAAATTTCACCTAGCGTCATAGCTCAAAGCTTGCAGAAACAAAGAAAACACGTGCTGGCAGAGTGCCATCGGAGGGGGGGGGGCAAGTCCTGAGGCGGTGAGTTCCAGAGAGTGGGCGCAGCAACTGAGAGAGCCCTTCGAGTATTTCTGACAACCGTGCCTTTGATATCAAAAGGGCCTTTCTGAATTGATATTAAGTATTTAACAGGCTGCCTTTGAATTTTACATATTGATATGAAGACTTTCCTGTGATTTGGAGTTTGTATTAGCTTTCACTTCACGTGACAGATGCTGTGGAGATTGTGCTTGAAATTAATGTCCCTGCAAAAAAGGAGCCTAGCTTCTAAATTTCCTCTTGCAAGCCAGTATGACCACAGGCTGCTCAGAACTGAAACAATTATATTATTGCTCCTGCCTGTTTCTTAGCTAGTGTCTTTCATATCTAACCGTTCCATAGGTTTCGTTGACAGTTAATAAAAGCTGATGGACGTTTTTGTCGACAGATTGCTACATCCAGAGGAAGAGTAATGGAGCTTTCAGTAGTGTTTAATGTACAGATTTGCAAACGGAATGGACAACGAATTGTCTACAATTCCCACAAACTGGTCTTTGGATGCAAAATAAGCTGCCTTAGTAATGTGTTCATTGTAAAACCTTGCTAGGCAAGAAAATGATTTGTCCTGCTTTTCTATTACGTGTCATTTCAGTTCTATTGAACTTTAAGTACATTATACTTTCCTTCACATTTTTTTGTCCCTCTTATTGTTATAGCACCAGGGGGCCTGCCTGCAACAAAATGTGACAGTGTAGAGAGCTTCTTGCTCATTCGTCCAGTAAGCCAGCCATGCCCTTCTCTGGGATACTTAATTCTATTCCCCGTCCCAGCCAGTTTTCCACCCTCCTCATCCTTGCAATAAATAGTCAGTAACATTCCATAGCTGTTGCTCATTCTCAGTCCTTGTTGGGCTGTTTTTGAGGTTCCCCACCTTAGGTTTTTCTCCCCTTGCTGCACTTCTGCTAACCCTGGCGGTTCCCTATGCCTGTTAATACCCTACCCTTCTGCTTGGATAGAGCAACAGCACTCACATCTGAACATTGGAAATACTTTCATTTGTTTATAGAAATATTTACATACCGCCCACTCATATAAAATATCAAGGTGGTATACAACAGTATATGCATAATACAATAAATCATAAGAAACATAAAACAATTCAAAATAAATATTAAAATGTCTGGTTAACCTTGAAAAAAATATAAACAACTGAGCAGGCCAGTCATCATTAGAAAAAGTTTTCAAGAAACATCTGAAAGTTAGGACTGAGGGTGCTTGTCAAATATCTGCTGGATTCAGGTGTCTTCCCACTTATGTGCACAACCACATATATGCACAGTGCCAGGAAATAATCAAATCAATTGATTTAAACTGCAAAAAGGGCCTGAAAAGAGAGGGAAAATAGCTAGGAGCCTTTGCACTGCCCTTTAAGGCCTGTGGAGAGTTGGAATCTGAGGTTAGAAGGGAGCAATTGTGATAGAGTTTGGCAGATTTTAATGAGTTTTTTTTGTCAGAGTTTGGCTTTTTAGATGGTGTTCCCTACTATACGCTATTTCACATATATGCATGGTACCCGGGAACGTAACCCCCGCATAAATGGGGAGTCGCTTGTACTCAACTTATAATTGAAGCCAGTTGGGCATCTGAAACACAGGGGACAAGTAATAGCATTCCTCCAGATTAACTCAGGTTATGCTGGGATAGAATGCATCATGCGGTCATTAAGGTATCTTGGACCCAAGTTATTCTGGGCTTTTTATATTAATACAAGATCACATATTTAATGGCTAATGGAGCCATTAAACCTTGCAAGACAAAAGAATCAACCTTGCAAGACTGGCATGCCTGTCAGCACATGATGAAACAACTACACCATAACTGGAAAGTAGAAACAGAATGAGGCACAGTTACAGAAATAAACTCATGTCGATACAGAGCCTACAATCTCTGTAAAGAGATGTACTGCCATGCCCTCTCAGTTATTTGAGAAAACAAACATGCCTAGAATTGCTTAACCAACATAAAAAAGGTAAAGGACCCCAGCTATTCTGGGCGGCTTCCAACATAAATAAAAACATAATAAAACTTTAAACTTTAAAAAACTTCCCCATACAGGGCTACCTTCAGATGTCTTCTAAAGGTTGTATAGTTACTTATTTCCTTGGCTCATGGGTTGCAGAACTCCATACCCTCCAACATTTCTCCGATGAAAATAGGGATATCCCAAGAAAAAGCGGGACATTCTGGCATCAAATCAGAAACCAGGATGGCTTCTTTAAATCTGGGACTGTGCCTGGAACACTTGGAGGGTCTGATATCATAATAACAATACTGAATGTATTGAAATCAGTGAGCATGATCTGTCTCCTTCTTGTGGGTGAAATGGCACACGTGAGCAGCCCTGGCAAGGCCAGACCCATAGAAGTTTTGGGAGAAAGCTGCTAATCTAGTGAGCAGTCTCAAGCAGAGAGCAGTCAGTGAGCAAAGGGAGGCTGCTTGCCCAGTCCTGGTGATGCCAAGCAAAACCTCAATATAGGCATCTTTTTCAAGATATGGAAGGAAGTTTCTGTTGAGTGAGATTTTACTAAACGTATTACATTTCATGTTTAGAAATATAATATTTCTCCTCAGATTGGGAACCCAGAATATAGGATATTCCTATATACAAAGCACACCAACTTCAAAATGACTTAAAATGAACAAGTTCAAATCCCTTAAGTATTGCGGAAAACCCAGATTTGGAAGAAAAAACACCATACTGACATTGATTTTAACTGAGCGTGGCCTGCTTCAGTTGTTTGTGGTTCTTGCCAGAAGGAAAACCCTAGTGGTTTCACTTTGAAATGGAAAAAATCTGGCTATAAAGCTGAAGGTTGCAAACTAAAAAGAAAGTTTATTAGAAATTTCACTTTCATTGGTTTTGCCAGAGGGAGGAGGGATTCAGAGTATCTGTGGGGCCTGCATTGATTGTGTGAGTACCAATGATTAATCATGGAGAAAATTTTAATCTGCATTTAAGCCTTTCATTGCTCTGCTGAACTAAAGCTTGCGGTCCTGGTGATAATTCTCCATAGCTGGTATATAATAGTTGGCAGCAGGGTGAAGTGATTCAAAAAACATTACACACTAATTGTTATAAAAAAATTTACTTGCGATGGGGATGTTCTATGTTGTTGGCATCATGGACATATTGTAGTCTCTTCATGGAGTTTTCCTTATTATGAAGCATTTTCAGTGGTTTCTATTGAGGAGCCTTAAGAACTCACTTGGTTCCCAGTTCTTCATATAACTGTGTTTTGATATGCCAAAATAATATTTGAAAAGTCTGTTCACAAGTGTTATGTTCAAATAGTTTATGAGAAGCAAGATGCATATGGTTCACCTGTGATATTTGCTGAAAACGTGGCATAGAGATTTCTCTCTTTCTTGCTTTGTAGGCTTGCCTTCGGTTAGGCTGAACACACAGAACCTCACTGTTATTGAAGGAAGAAGTGTCACATTGTACTGTGAGGCTACTGGAAGTCCATCACCAAGTATAGCTTGGGTTTTCAATAATATTGTTTCAAAACATGAGGTAAGAATTTCATACTGAAGTATCTGGATCTGCCAAAGCCGTATACGTACTAGTTTTTAAGGAATGGTACAAGTCCCACATCCTACCTGAAGTAAAAGTGCCAGATACAGTAATGCAGGTTACATTGAATTATAAAGCTTGGAACTCTTTAAGTGCCTGTCAGGAACCCCGCAGACATTCCTCATCAGTCTTGTGAGTTAATGAATTGCCCACATCCATAGCAGGTGACACTGTGGATTAAACCACAGAGCCTAGGATTTGCAGATAAGAAGGTCGGCGGTTCGAATCCCCGCGGCGGGGTGAGCTCCCAGCTCCTGCCAACCTAGCAGTTCAAAAGCACGTCAGAGTGCAAGTAGATAAATAGGTACCGCTCCGGCGGGAAGGTAAACGGCGTTTCTATGCGCTGCTCTGGTTTGCCAGAAGCGGCTTAGACATGCTGGCCACATGACCCGGAAGCTGTATGCCGGCTCCCTCGGCCAATAAAGTGAGATGAGCGTCGCAACCCCAGTCAGCCATGACTGGACCTAAAGGTCAGGGGTCCCTTTACCTTTACCTTTATAGTAATACTTGCAGAGCCTACACAGTGGTGTCCAAACTTTTTTCAAAGAGGGCCAGATTTGATGAAGTGAAGGGCCGTGGGGAAAGTTGTTGAGCTTTTTTCCTTTTTTTTAGGACTGAAGTTGTTGAGCTTTGTTGCTTTGTTTAGGGTTGGAGTTGTTAAGGTTTTTTTTTTTTTAGGATTTTACCCCAAGAAATAGACTGCCGCAGGGGCCAGATTAAACCGACCGGTGTGCCAGGTTAGGCCCCCGAAACTGACTTTGGACATGCCTGGCCTACAGCCTGAATCAGGAGAAGAAGCTGCTCACATTTGACTGGGCTTATTTTCACCTTCCCCATATAAGCTTTTGTGGCCTTTCCACTATGTGCTGCCTCTAGGCTGACATCACAGTAATGATGCTACCCAGGAATGAAGCCCAAGGGCAGATGAATGGCAGGCACTGCAAAATGTAGTTTCTCCTTCCCTCTTCACTGGTCATCCTCAGAGGCTCCCACTGTCTTTACCCGTGCTGGGCAGGATCATATCCCCAATTATTGGCAGGAATTGCCAATTGCCTCAGATAGCACACTCTTCCCTTCACAATCCTATCACTATCTACTTTTTATATAAAAATACAAACATATTTATAATGTCTGTTTAGTGAAAGAAAACTTCTGGTGGGTATTGTCATTTAATGTCCTAGATTAGGAGGCCATTAATGCAAATGGAATGGAATTTGTGGTTTGTGTTGAATACATGTGGTTAATTTTCTCATCTCAGAAAAATTGTCTAATAGTTATCAGAACCCACATACAGCGAACCAGTTTAATATTTGATTTCTAGCCAAATTCTTCATGCACTAGTAAAACTATTAACCATGACAAAAGCTAATAATAATGTACCTACAATTCATTAAGAATGCATTAGAGTTTTTGCTCACCTGAACATGAGCCAATTGAGGCGATGATAGGATATGAAATACTGCTTCAGTTCTTCACATGATAGATGGGCTTCTGTAAAGCAACAGCACATATAGGTGTGTCTGTGTGAGAGTATGCCCTTGATCCATCTCCCACTCCTGTTTGTATGTGGGTTGGTATACCATGTGTGCATATTGATTGGAACAAGTCATGTGGTAACTTATTACCCTGCCTAATTCCTACAAAGTCTCTGGCATTTCTTTGCATCCATTTATATGTCTATGGGTATGTTCACAGTTTAGTTTCTGTGGCTAGAATTATAGTTACATAACCATAGTGAGCACAGTGGAAGTACTCTTGTAACAATTCAGCATTGGAAAGTATAATTTGATAGTAGGTTACTAGGGACGCGGGTGGCGCTGTGGGTTAAAGCCTCAGCGCCTAGGGCTTGCTGATCGAAAGGTCGGCGGTTCGAATCCCCGCGGCGGGGTGCGCTCCCGTTGCTCGGTCCCAGCGCCTGCCAACGTAGCAATTCGAAGGCACCCCCAGGTGCAAGTAGATAAATAGGGACCGCTTACTGGCGGGAAGGTAAACGGCGTTTCCGTGTGCGCGCTGGCTCGCAATGTTTGTCAAGCTGGATTTGACCCAGGAAGTGCTGAGCAGCGTTCGGCCCTCGGCTATATAATACCGAGTAGTTTGATGGAGCCATAACACCTCCTTGTCTGAAAGTCTGTCTGTGATGATGGAAGGAATGCTTACCTTTAGGGCTTTTTTTTATTTGACACCCAGGGCTATTCCCTATTCCCTATATAATATATTTATTTGGGGATGAAATACTGTATAAACAACTTGGAACCAGGGCACTTAGGAGACCACCTCCTGTGTATAGACCAGGCTGATTGTAAAGTCTTCTGAGGAGTCACTTGCTGTAAGCAGACATTCTCAGTTATAGCACCCACCCTTTAGAATGCCTCCCCATGAGTAATTAATGAGACAGTAATTACATAGCTACAAACCAAAATATAGCCTTCAAACTAACAGGCGCTTTATTTAAATTGAATAAACTGTTTTGTAAATATGTTTAAATTCAGATAAGTTTCTTAGTATCAGATCATGTTAGGGAAACCACTCCTAACCCCTTTATTTCTCCATTGCTTTTCTTCTAGAACGACACAAATAAGAACCCAGCTTCCCTAACCATAAAGAATATATCATCGAATGACAGCGGCGTGCAGATTTCTTGTGTAGCAGAAAACATTGTGGGCGAAGACCAAGCTTCTGTTGACCTCGTGGTGTTCTGTATGTAAATAAACTTACGTAAAATTTTAGCTGCAGATAATTGTAGCCAAGTGGCATCAGTAGAGAACAAGTTTAGAATTTCTGCCTCAGCCTTCTGCGAAAAGATAAAACTTTATAAAGTATATATTAGTAAGGATTAGCACTGAAGAGAAGAGTCATTAAATGCTTATGATTGTCACCCTCAACACTCCAACAAATCTTCCTTGGAGGTTGCTAAAGGTATTCCCTGTATTCATTGCATGTGTGCAATCTGAGCAAGAGATTTAGAGTTGGAGCTTCAGTAAATCGGAGGACATTGACAATCTGTTTCTTTTTGGTCTGGCCCAATTCCATCATTTATGGCAGAAAATTGATTAATGGTGCAGAATTGCTCTTCTTTTGGCCTTAAGGCAAGAGAAGAGCGTGACCACAGACAATATTAAATCATTCATTTTCCTCTCTGTTCTAATTCTCAGAACATGCAAATATCAAAGTTTTAAGAGAACAATGCTGCATTTTAAGTTTTGCCTTGCCTAGTTATGTCAACTCTGCTGTAAACATTACAAAATTTGTTGAAATAACATTATAACAGAGTAGGTTCAAGCAGCAATCAGATACCTACTTATGAGGAAGTAAGACCCATTGAAGTAGTGGCTTATTTCAGATAGAAATGGATATGACTGTGCTGTCAGAAAAAGAGGTGTATGTAAATGTGAAATATATTAAAGGTTTAGGTAAAATAAACTCAGTTGTGAAGTGGGTAGGAAACACTAGTGATTGAACAACATAAACAAGCCACTGCCCCTCCAAAAAGTGAAGAAGGAAATTATAAATAATAGCTTAAATGATCCTTTATTATAACTTCCTCTAAAGAATGCTTATATATATATATATATATATATATATATATATATATATATATATAACATAACAAATTTGCTTTTGGAATTCATGTATTCATTGCATTTATATGGATGCCAGCTGCTTTGCTTTAATGATTTAAAACAAACAGATGAATTTTCAAGGAAGAGAAAATGTAGTATACTAACATTACTCTTATTTGTTCTTAATATAGTTGCACCAAATATCACCTACCTTGAAATTCCATATCCGGACCACCACTGGTGTATTCCATTCAGCGTGAGGGGGAACCCACAACCTATCCTGACATGGTTGCATGACGGAGTTAAGTTGAATGAGTCCGTCTATATCTGGACTAAAATACATGTTGTAAATCAAACGGAATACCATGGCTGCCTTCAGCTGGACAACCCTACTCATGTGAACAACGGTGATTATACCTTGGTGGCACAGAATCAATATGGAAAAGATGAAGCCAGCATTTCTGCGTACTTTATGGAAGATCCTGGAGGTAGTAAGTAATAATATTACTATAATATCATTGAAGCATTAATTAAGTAGGGCTGTTGTTTTTTCTCAGTTTGCTTAATGATGCTACTGAAAGTTAAGATGAGCAATTTTTCATTTTAGTTTTGCATGCAGCCCTTGGGTGGCATATTTCTATTAAAGCTGCAATCCTATACACACTTACCTTGCAGTGAGCCCCATTGAATGGAATAGAGCTTGCTTTCAAATAGTCGTGCATAGGTTTGCATTGTATGTGTGCAGTTAAGTCGTACGGTTAGACTAGTTAAATGCTAAAAAGCAAATAAATGCAGATTTGAGAAAGTAAACTCACTAGACAGCACAGTAACTTAAACTTTGCATGATGAACTAAACCGTCTCTGGTCAGTCTCATTAAATTAGTAATTTAACGTTATCAGCTGACTGAAATCATTATATAAAGCAGTGGTTTTCAACCAGGGTGCCGTGGCATCCTGGAGTGCCTTGAATGATAGTCAGGGGTGCCACGGGCAACACTGGCCTCTGTCCCTCTTTCCTTCCCTCTCTCCCTCTGTTGCCCTCTTGGATCTCTGCCTCCCAAAGGCTTGCACAGCTGTTTGTTGCAGCAGCCCTGACTACAAGCTCCCCAGGCGAATGGTGCCGCTGGGCTGGCCAGGGGGTGCTTCCCAGGTCCCTGTGGGGCAGTGTGAGGAAGTAGCTCTCTTTGGGGTAGGGGGGTGCAGCTCAGAGACCAGGGGCGGCCGCTGTGGCTGCCCAGAGGACACCCAAGGAGAAGAGAGGAGACTGAGGGAACACTCCACAATGGAGGGTGTTTGAGAAAGGGTGAGAGGCTGCCAGCTCTGCAGGCAAGGGGGGACATAACTGGGCTCCTGAGCCCCACAGGGGTGCCGCTGAAAGAATGTAGTTGGTCAAGGGAGCCGTGGACTCAAAAAGATTGAAAGCCTCTGATATAAAGTATTATTTTCTTAATCTTCATGTCACTGCAAGTTAAATACGGTATTGCCCATCAGAGACGGTAATTATTTAATTCATTTGCTTAACTTTCACTTCAAGCATGGTTTGTTTGTTTGCTGCTGGATACTGAAATACTAATTATAGAGGTGCAAATTGCAATCCAGTGTTCCTAGGTTATGGCTGTTATTAAATGAGAAGTTTGTCTGTGCTGAAACATTTTGTTAATTGACACATTACTTTCTTAATGTATAGCTTAAGGCTCTCAAAATGAGAAGGATAAGTGATCATTGCATTGGGGGGGGGTGCCTGTGTGTGCATGCTTTTGTATTCTTCTGCCTTCCTCATTATTCACTACTACTGAAGAGATGCATTACTTCTACCTATGCACGGACGTGCACGGAGGTTATCATATCTTGCTCTTCCAGAAATTGAATCTCATAATTTAAGCAGAAGTTCCTTAACGTACAGTGATTTTTTTTTACCTTTAAACATAAACATTTAGGGCTCCCATATTCAGCTACATTTGCAGTTTCATAGAATGCTGTTATACAGTATCTCCCAGTTATATAATCTCTTCTTTTATCATTACTTTATACTGTTTTTAAGTCTTAACAAACTTGTAAATATTCAGAGATTTTAAAAACCGTAGATTTTTTTTTGCTGCTTTTGTGGAGAAAAGGAAGAATAGACTCAAGCATAGTGGTAGTGGAATGGCATAATACATTGTGAAATCCCTTGGGGCACTCTATAGACCTCCATATGCCAGTAATCACCACCACTGTCTTGTTTTCCATGGTTAAACTTCATAGCTCATACCTTCCTTAATAATGTAATAGTTTCACCTGTTAAGAGAAGGAAAATACCAATCAACGTCCAATACTTGTTAAATAGATCTAAATGGTTGGGGTTTTTTCCCTGCTTGAGGAAAAGAACTTTGCAAAGTAGGTTAAAACTTCCCAGGGGAGGCCAATCCAAGTTGGATGAAGATACACCCAGTGCTTTTTTTTCTGGGGGGGACGCAGGGGTTCGCTTACCCCTGAACATTTTGTGAATCTAAGTTTGGCCTCATTGAGGGGCAGTATTTCAATATGAGTGGGAAAATGAGAATACCCCTAAACATTTTTTTTAGAAAAAAAGCACTGGATACACCCAAGGACTTACTAAAATCCTTGATTTGTTTGTGTTGGAGCCCAGTAGCAGGGAGGTGCTATAGACCAGGCATAGGCAAACTCAGCCCTCCAGATGTTTTGGGACTACAACTCCCATCACCCCAGCTAACAGGACCAGTGGTCAGGGATGATGGGAGTTGTAGTCCCAAAACATCTGGAGGGGCGAGTTTGTCTATGCCTGCTATAGACTACAGAAAAGATCTTTGCCTCCTACAGGTTAGCATGGCAAGAGATAATTTTGTACCTCTAGCCTAGTAAACAAATCTAAGCAAAACATTTTGTTCACTTGCTTTACTGTGCAGCTCCATTATTTGAGTGTCAGTGGCATTAAAGTATGGCTACCTAAGCAGAAAGAAACTTCAGTAGATGTAATGAGGTGTCTGCTCCTTTTCATATCCTTTTCAAGCATCCTGACAAGGTTCTGGATTGGGGGCTGGACAGTTGGTAAATGCCCATGAGGATGTTGGCATCTTAGGGTGACTGAAGTAAACGCTTGATCCCCTGGAAGCTTGCTTGTGCAGGTCTGCAGCACATTGGGTGTCAGTTGTATTTGGTCTGCCTGAAATTCTCTACCTAAAGTTCAGTTTTTCAAGTGGCTTATAGTTGTTGACAAGTATTAAGAAATCAATGCTAGGTTAAACCATGTGTAGACCCCACTCCAAGATAGCTTCACTCTTGGAATATTGCAGTGTCTTACAAACTATTTGTCTTATATCTTATGTTTGCCTTCTTCCACAGTGAGAATAAAGACAAATAAAACATATATAATCTACTGTAATTGCATTCATGGTTTACATTGCTATTTAAAATAAATACAGATCAGTCTTCAAGCCTGAAATGGCTTTGATAGCTATTGTCACTGTCAGTTTTACATACTGCACAAGCCCAGTGCTATCAAGTGATGGCAGTGAGCTGACTTGAGATTCAGTAGGCTTTCCTTGAGTTACTGCTGCTGTGAATCCCACAAGTGATACTCTTGCCTTCCTGCATTTTTGGATCAGTGCAACAGGGAGCTGCACACTGGAGGAGTGATGTTGGTGGAGCTGTTTGGGGCTAGATAACCATTGCTCCACCCATCCACTCCCACCCAGGAGAAAAGCTGGTTAGGGCTAGATATAAGAACAGGTCGGCGGCTCACGCTCAGTTTATGAGACCAAGTAAATAGGCTACATTTGCCAACACTGTTGGCAAAACCTGGATGTGCTGCAGTCCCCAACTGGAACAGTACAGAGGAGGGTTTACCCCATTCTCCTACAGAGGGAGAGTTTCTTTTATATTCTAGTTGAAGGGAGACAGCAGTTGACCTGTTGGGACCAGTGCCCTCCTCTGGTTTTACCATTACCAGGACTTTTAATTGTGTATAGCATTGTGTTCCTGTATGGGGCATACATGTATGAACATACATAGGAAACTGCCTTATACAATGTCAGATCCTGGTTCTGGAAATTGCCATACAGAGACACCATTGGTTCATCTAGCCAAGTATTGTATGCCCTGACTTGCAAGGTCATCCAGTATTTCATATCGAGGTCTCTCACCTCTATCTAGAAATGCCAGGAATTGAACTTGGGACCCCACTAAGCTATGACCCTTAAACTGTGCATGTACAAGCCTTTTGAGATAATCCCATGTGTAGGGTGTTCTGAATATGGAGAAGAAGGATGTGTGTTTTCTGTGTGGGGGTACATTTCACTCCTCTGTTGCTGGCATGGAGCTACCACATTAACTGTTAGAGAGAATGATGATATATGCATACATAGTCACAAAAGAAGGTTAATTTTCATTAATAGTTGCTTTATCCAATTGATCTCAGAGAAAAGCTTATCATGCAGATACATTGTATGTTAGCATAAAATGTGTGCCCAAAAGTTGTAAAGAGGGATTCTCAGTCTGGGCACAAGCATTTTGAAGTAAAGCTTGGCTTGAGTTCTTCTAAGAGACAGACAGTCAACAGATTTTTTTGTCATGTTAATTATTCATTATTAAAATGGCTCACATCTAGTTCCAAAACCTCTAATTTCCACCCAAAAAAAAAAGTAATCAAGAATCTACATTACTAATGATATTGACCTCAGAGAGGCTGATTTGAGTGGCAGTGCTAATGGAAAAAGTCCAACATGAAAGTTAAAGTTCTGATGAGATACCTTCTCAAAAAAAAAGTTTTGACAATGTTTCGTCAATTTGAGGTTAACAACAAACTATGAAACCAACAAAAAAATAACAGCCATTAAGAAAAGTGGGATTGTTCAAAAAAGCGTGTTCTCCTTCATGGAGAGCACGTGTTGCGGTGGGGTCTACTGAGCCACCCCTCTGTTACCAGGCAGGGTCTCTAAAGATGGCCTGGGGCAGTGATTGCTTCACTGGGTTGCTGGGGTAAAAGTTATGTTGCAATTTTGGTGGGAGGGGTAAAATGTTTAAATACTCTGCACGCAGCCTGGAGCTTTCTCTTTAGTTCAAAAACTTAAAAAATGAATAAAAAGAAGATCCCCTAAAAGGAAGCATAGTCTCTGAGCTTCCCAGCGCACCTCTATATGTTCTCCAATACACTTCAAAGGCATCTTGGCTTCTGTCACCATCTGAGGCTGAAATGGAAAAGGTCTAGGGTTCAGAAAATGGTCACCAAGTAACAGCACGTTTGAAGTACCAGAATGTCCCGAAGTTCTCCGTCCAAGATTTTGAGGTTAACCAGCTAAATAGCAAAGGAGTAGGTGGACTCGCTCCATTCTTGGGGTGATGCAGGACATGTAAACAGGTTTCATTTACCTGTGCAGCACCATAGTTTCCCACCCCAGCCTCTGGGCAGTTTGTCAGCCACTCCTTGTTAGCTCTTCCGGATGTGATTTGAGGTTTTAAAATCTACAGCAAGTCAGAAGCAGAAGTTAAAAGGTCGGCTTTGTCTATGCCAGTGGCCAGAATGCCCCCCCTTGTTGTTTTACCAAGCAAGGTGTCATATACTATACAGGTAAGCACCACAGAATTTCACAAGCAGTTTCACCAAAGTTTTCCTCGCAGGCACAAAGTGGATCTTGGGCTGTTGGTTTTTGAAAAAGCTTTCAGGCCTACCCCCTTTCTAAAGGCCCGGTTGGGCAGAATCTGCAGCTAGGCACCTAGTGTCTCTTAAGCAAGCTCTCACAGAGCTCTTCCTCCACAGTGCAGGATCCGGAATGCTGGTCCCCATTCCCAGATGAGACAGATCTTACAGGTAGGAACCCCAGAGTCTCACAAGCAAGCTCCCAGGAGTCTTTCTCCTGATCATATACGAGCTTTTCCACCATTTCATAATGATGACATCTTACTAGTAACTGGTACAATGATTACTTGACCATTAAAACATGCTACATTTTCACCTTGCATCATTGAGAGAGGTTCAAACACACTTAAATAAATGGGTTTTCCCATCAATAAAATATATGAACAGGGCCCGCTATTCTCAAGTTACGCTAATCTTATCAAGTAGCAAGTTGTTCTCATTGTTCTAGAGAAATAATAAGCGACTTAGATTTTGTGTGCCCAAACTGTTTCATCATCCTGGAAGATTCAGCTTCCTAGATAAGTTTTTTTTTAAAAACCTTTAAAAGTTACAAATTCAATAGTGAGTGGTGCTTAGACTGTTGTGTTTCAGCCTGACAAGGCTGTGTTCTTTTTCTTTTAGAAAAGTGATAATTATTATATTAAAAATTCCCCAGTGCAAACCTGTTCATTCAAGTTGAATCTGAATTCTCATTTTAGGAATGTTGAATATTGAATTAATGTTCTCCCAAGGCACAATATATTTATTTGTTTGTTTATTTAGTTATCAAATTTGTATACCACACTATATCTGCAGATCTCAGGGTGGTTTACAACATAAATGTGCAATGCATAATGTAAAATAGGTGAATTCAGCTGATATGTGTGGTGTAGAATATGATGCGCAAATAAGTGTATTTTGTATTTCTCTGGAAACAGTTTAGAAGATAAAAGTGTATACAATTTAGGTCTGTATTTAATGTCATATGGTATCATGTGATTAAAAACTAATTGGTTAACTGTACCTCTATGCTATATTTGTAACTTAATTATATCTTTTTCTTTTTGTTATCTAGGTAGTTCGTTCTACACCCATCTTGGTTATAGTGGTATATTTTTATTTTCTACTTCAAATATGTATATAACCTCAAATGATCAAGTAAATGACTGAAACATGTGAAAGATGGACTTTTATACAGTTTGGAATCATTAATACAGTAGATACTATTCAGCTAGATTTAGAACCTCAAAAATTGCCTTGAATTTAATATAGATATGAATTTCTTCTGAATTTTCTGAAGGGCAATCCTTAATCCTGAGGTGGCACATTTTCCTGGAGAATGTCAGCAGGGTCAATCTTCATTGCTGTCAAGGGAGAGGGACAACATGGCCCTTCCTCTCAAGCTCTGCCTAGTGAGATGAACAGTCAGGTCAAGTTGGAGCTGTGAGAGCTCTTTGAGGCTTCTCCTTCACCTGCCCAACATGCCTGAGAAGGGCCTCTGGGGATGTTTCTTTGTGTGTGTATGTGCGCAGAGTCTCTTCAAGAGCACTCCATTCTCACCTAGTCTGGAGCCAGATGTCTTGCCACTGAAGGAAAGTAGCAATTTTAATCTAAAATAAAAGTACAGTGGTACTTTGGTTGTTGAACTTAATCCATTCTGGGAGTCCATTCGACTCCCAGAACTGTTCAAAAACCAAGGTACGGCTTCCAATTGGCTGCACTCAATCAGAAGCTGCTTCAGATGTCCGGCTTCCAAAAAATGTTCGCAAACCGGAACACTTACTTCCAGGTTTGGGAGCCGATTTGTTCAGGAGCCAAGCCATTCGACAACCAAGGTACCACTATACTAGGATAGATGTTCTGGCAGCAAAAACTGTGAGGCAACAACTAATATGTGATCCTATGCCCACTCTCTCCTCTTGTCATAGGGCAAGGCAGACTAAAAGTGCTCCTAGAGCATCTGTCTCCCCAGGCAAATTGGCAGGAAAACACTTTTGATACCCACAAATATCAAATGTAACTTACAAACTCTGTCCAGCAGTTTATCCATGGTTTATTTACTACCCAAAAAACCCACAGTTGGCTTATGAATGTTGGGTAGCAGAGTATCCAAGGATACAGTTTCTAGTTGCTCAGTGGAATATACTGCTTTGACTTATCAAAGACAAGGAAACTCACTATTCCCTAAAGGAGATGTCAGCATCTGCTGTCTTTTGGCCTAATTGTCCTTAGTCATTTGATATGTCGCTGAATGGGTCTCCACCCAAATTTGTTTTTACTACCTTAAAAAAAAATACAGTCTGTTTTTCAAGAGAGCTTATTCCATAAAATGGCTTACAGCTGTATTTCAAACCACGACAGCATTACAATCTACAAGAATAAAATATTACATACATTCAGCAAGCAGTACAGAATAGATACTTCAGACATGGACTTTAATAAGAAGGTCTTGCACAAGGTCGTGCTTTAATAGGGTGCTGGCTCATGGAAGCCCACCCTTAATGCTGCTTCTCTGTTACGTGCCAAGGTGAAGGAATGGCCTCCTGGAGCCTCAGGAGAAAATGGAATTTCTCTTCTCTGAATTTCCTGGAAGATAGTCCACCTGCGACCTCTTTGTGACTAGCCAGCCGGTTATGGATTTCCTTCAAACCAGAGCTTCTGTCAACATTGTACATATGTTGGAGGCAGACAGATGTGCCTGGGGTGCACTCACCTCCCTGCTCACCTCCTTCTTTCCATTTCTTATTGTTTTCAGAAACAGTTGTTTTTGAAATGATAATAGAATTGGTGCCTGTTGGTATGGATGTTTTTTTTTTATTTGGTTTTGAGTGGGGACCAAAGAGTTTGTGCCCTTTTCCAGTCTGCTCTGGCAGGGCAGGGTATCCATTCCTCCTGGCAATGCAATAAAAATTGACCTACCTACATGTTCCAGGTGCCTTCTCAAGGTTAAGAGCTGCCCTCTGTGAGACTTAGAGAAACAGAAATTCGTAGTAAGGAAAATTTCCAATTTTTCTTTTTTGTGTGTGTACTGAAGCAAGTCTTCTTATATAACAATCCCTTTATATATTTATGGAAAATATCATACTTTTGTTTTTATATATTTTTTATATCTACATAGAATTATTAATTACTATTTTTTATATAAAAACATACTTTTTGCCATATAAAAATTCCCATCAGCTATTTTTCTTTTTAAAACAATTTCTTAAAACTGTGCTTGTTGGAGGCTATGATCCTGCACACGGTTAATCTGCTTAAGTCCTACATTTAAGCTGCCCGATTGTGTGTAGGATTGCTGCTGAAGCTATTTGCAAATTAATGTTCTTCAACAAAAGGCCAACCTATCGTTAGATCAAAACTGGTGCCTTTTAAAAGAACTACATTTTTAGATAATGCCATCATAAAAGGCACCATTGCCTTTTATCTGTGAAAGTCCATTTTAAACATTGTTTCTATAATACTTGTATACCTTCAGGAGTGGAACGTTTTGTTCATTCTTGCTGAATATATAGCCCTATGCCAAAAATTGCCTAAAAACCAATATAAAATATATATTAATTATAATATATAATTTTATATATTAATTTGGTTTTATTCCACATCATTAACCATAAACTCCAGCATGCAATTGGATTACCACATTACCTGTAAGAGGAATGAGCAGTTCCTAATACTAATTAAAATCAATTCTGAAGGGGAGTTTTGGACCATTCAAGAACCCATCATTTGGATAAATATTTGGGCAGCTTGCCTGTGATAGTGGAGGAGCAGGGCAGGAGGGAATCCCACAGCCCACTGGTGAAGTCTCCCTCACTTAATTAGAAGTTCACTGAATAGATAGCTTGCAGCCATGCCTTCAGTTCTTTCATACTTAATTACAATAAGCCTGATCAAGAATGCAGTATGTGAGAAAGGGAAGATTACCTCTTCCCTCCCTAAAGCATGCACACTGTGATTGTAGGAGCCATAGGGGAAAAGTCTCCATTGGCCTTGCTGCCATAGGGGAAAGTGCTAGAGAAATGTAAAATACAATGACCCCAGAGTTAAAACTCATTGATTGGAATGACTGTGTATAAAAAGGAGAGTATGGTAGTTATGCCTCTTTCTCAATAAAATGTTTAATATGACCTTATGATTGGAGATACTATATTATTGTAGTTGGTAAATTATTGTAGTGTCCTGCTAAAAATGAGCTGCAGCAAAATTCGGGCTTGCATTCTCCACTTCTTACAAAACTAACTTTGGAAGTTTTTGCTTGTGTGTTTATTTAATCACAGGTTTCCACAGCTGAACTTGGTTTGTTTCAGACAATAAACTGTAGTTAACCAAAAACAGAAATGAAAGCTTCCCCACTTCTCTGAATTGTATGGGAAAATTAGGTGAAAGTGTTGGAGCCCAAAGTTTACTGAGCTTTGTGCTTGGTTGTGCACGTTGTGTTAAACCAGGCATAGGCAAACTTGGCCCTCCAGATGTTTCGGGACTACAACACTCATCATCCCTAGCTAGTAGGACCAGTGGTCAGGGATGATGGGAATTGTAGTCCCAAAACATCTGGAGGGCCGAGTTTGCCTATGCCTGTGTTAAACCATGGTTTGGCATGATGTATATATGTTGCCATAGAGTTAATCTCTTCCATTCCCTTTTTCTGTCTCATTTCTGATTTTTCTGGGTTGTCAAAATTAATGATAAAATAAAATTGTCATATCAGGAGTAACTCACCCAGTGGGGTGGAGCTGCAGCAATAGTCTCCCAGCAGCGGGGAGGGGTGAGGTTAGGGCTGTGCAGGATGCTCCCACTTGTTCACCCATGTAGCCCCAAATTCTCCAGTGCCTCACCCCTTTCCCTCATGGTAAGTGGCAGTGACCATGGTGGCTGGAGGCAGTTGTTTGGCTCCATGGCACTGGGCAAGCTGCTCCTCCCTCCTCATGTCAGCTAAAGAAACAACCTGCTCAAATGATATCAGCTCACATTTAACTATATTTGGTAGGGAATACATCAAACTTGCCTATCTTCCTTATGTACTTTGGGGAAAGAGTGAGTGAGATGACTTAAAGGGAGTAAACTGCCATTTAATTTAGCTTATAGTTAATCACCTTGGTAGTCCAAAGCACACAAAGTGGCTCAATTCTGTCAATTGTATACAATTATAACAAATGGAATTTCTGCCATTAAATGCTCCGTTCCTATGCGTGGAGCTGATTGCATCATTTTTTCCAAAACAAATCATAAAAATTAACTCTGCATTCAAAGCATATAAAAAGATTAACTCCAGTTGTGCAACTCTAAAAGCCATAAACAGAAAACATTTTGTACGAAAAACCACCTAGTACTGTGTGAAATTATATATTCCTCTACATGTTTTTTATGTTATATTGTACATTCTGCTGGATGCTTATTTATTTCTAGTTTTCAGATTTGGCTCTAAAGCCATATAATCTGATTTTTCTTTTGCCCTCTCTTATTTTGTGATAATATGTACTAATGAAAGTGGAAGAACCCCTGGCTTTTGTCCAAGTGGCAATGTTAATGTTTCTCAGTATGTCTGTATCATGGCAACACAACCACTAATGTGCCAAGTGAAACCTCCTTTACACCTTTTTGCTTGTACTCTGTTACAAGAGTCTTGAAAGCAAAGCACCCCACCTCACCCCCGTGATCTCACAAGTTTCACGTGCAGTTTTTTTGGCAGGTCTTACTGCTTAGCCATTCTGGGTTCAAGGAATAAATTTATAGCCCTTGCCTGGATGTGGAAATCCTTTCCTGTTCAGATGCACACCTTCTTGTGATATTAACAGAGCACCAGGTGGTGTGGACTTCATTTGCCCTTTGTGGGATCTTGACATTGGAATCAGATATTATTCATAACGTGAAAGGAAGTGTAACTAGTCATAAATAAGCACAACATTTGCTGCGATTTGAGATAATGAGCAGATTAAACCTTTTGAAAAGTTCTACACACAAGAAGCATTACTATCTCATGGGAAGAGAATATATTTGTTCTGGAATAGTTTTAAAATAATTTCCTTCAGTTCAAGGATAGGCAAAGTTATGCATAACTTAGGTTTAATATTTGATTCATTAATATTAAGTGAAGATCTTTTGTTCTATGCTCACTGAACATTCCTTTTGTATCCTTTTCCAAATGCCTGCTTTAATAAATCTAAACTTTTCCCCTTTCACTAAATGGAGAATAACTTTTTTGGCATTTTAAGATACTTCAAATTGTACAACTTTCTGAAAAGTATTTTTAATGTTTTAATGCACATTTTGTTGCATTTCAACTTAACCTATCTCTTGTCAGTGAAAATACTAACCGCCTTTGAGCTTTTGCAAAACTTATTTCACTGGGAAAGGAGAATTGTAACTCAAGCAAAAGGATACATTTTTCATACTTAAAATGAAAGTTAGGAGAATCAGGGAAACAATGATGTACTTTCAGTTGCCCAAAACAGGCCTTAAACTACCCTATGCATTATTCTTGGCTGGTCCATGTGGTTAGAACTCCCTCACAGAATTCTTAGGAGATGATACCTCTCCTTCTTCCTTTAAATTCCAATTGAACTCCATCTCTTCCACGAACCCCTTGATTTGTCTCATTGTATGAAACCTTATTATACCCAGTTTTCTGGGAATAAGCCCTATTAAACTCAATGGGATTTACTTCTGAGTAGGCAAGTATAGGATTGCACTGTTAATTTTTACCACCAATTAAGTGTGTAATCCTAAACCTACTAGACACTAAGTCTCATTGAGTTCAGTGGAATTTACTTTTGAATATAGATGCTTAGGATTGTGCAGCAAGTATATGGAACTCTATTTCCTCCTGTTCCTTTGCTGTTATACTGCTCTCTCCCTTTTCTTGTTCATTCCCCTTAAATGGTAAATTATTATAAGATTCTTAGGGCAGGGGCCAGTATTTTTGCTTAACTTATGTTAGCTCTTTGAAGTACTATACAAATAACAGAAGAAGTTTCTATTTAGTGCATTTTACTATTACAGTATTACTATTTTCATCCTTTGTTTAGAATATAACTTAAGAAAGAACAGAGTACATATTGAATTTGAAGAGTAGATACAGTACAAGTTTTCATACCACAGAGCATTCACTGAGAAAGTCAGGAGCAAATAAAGTTCTTGGCTTTCTGCATTTTTGGCAAACAAAACTTAGAACACTGAACAATGCATTATAGAATTATAGTAAATTTTCATTTCCTGTGTTTAGTACTTTTCATAGAGACAAAAAAAAAAGTTACAGTCAGGGAAGTAAATAAAAATACATTCTTTCTCTTAGAGGATTATGGAACGCCAACGGATAATTTTGAAGATACTACAAATAATAGTAATCCAGTTACTTCTACGGATGTTTCCGACAAAAACAATGAAGATAGCATCACTGTAAGTATATACATAGTTTCCTGGTTTGTAATCTTAGCAGACTTTCTGACAAGGGATCTGATATGTTTGTGGTGTTTTAGCTTGTAACAAGACACCACCTTGACTATACCCCAGTGCTTTTCACAGGCATTTATATAAGGTGAAACAATTGCTTTTTCAAAGAGTTGGTAAATTATAGATAGAAAACAATGTGCAAAGTTTGTTTCATACGTTGCCATTAAGTGATATTACTTAGTTGCAGCTTCCAAGCTGAATGGATACGACTCCCATTTACAGCCTGAAATATTTTGGGTTTCCCTCCTTTGGCATGAAAAATATGGTGTAACTTTAGCTGAATGTTCTAGTGAGCACCCATATAATTTAAGTAACTATAAGGTCAACGTGGGTGGCGCTGTGGTATAAACCACTGAGCCACTGATCAGAAGGTCGGCGGTTCGAATCCCCGTGGCAGAGTGACCTCCCGTTGCTTGGTCCCAGCTCCTGCCAACCTAGCAGTTCGAAAGCACGTCAAAAAAGTGCAAGTAGACAGATAGGTACTGCTCCAGCGGGAAGGTAAATGGCGTTTCCGTGCGCTGCTCTGGTTTCCAGAAGCGGCTTAGTCATGCTGGTGACATGATCCGGAAAAACTGCAGACAAACACCAGTTCCCTTGGCCTGTCAAGCAAGATGAGCACTGCAACCCCAGAGTCGTCTGCAACTGGACTTAACTGCCAGGGGTCCTTTACCTTTTTAAAGTCAAGATAAACTGGAAGTTGTGTGCATAGGATGTTGTATCCAAGGAGCGGATGATCTTGAGATATTTTCCTGGTTCTGGTTTCCTTAGCAAAAAGCCATAGAAGCCATATTTTGAAGTCTCTTTTATCAAAGAGGCAACCTTAATTTTTTTTTTAAAGGATTAAAATTCTAAATTCTCAGCTCTTACTAGGGCGCTGTGACTATCCCTAGTAAGAGCAGCCTAGGTGTATAACACCCATAGGCTCTGGGTGGCAAGAGTTCAGACTGCAAACTTCAAAAGCTTTTCCACTTTGACAATTCTGATATCAAGTTCAAATACTGCCAATACTTCAATACTGGGTTTAATGTACCTTGCTTTTCTTTTAGGTCTATGTTGTAGTGGGGATTGCAGCATTAGTGTGCACTGGCTTAGTTATTTTGCTCATTATTCTCAAGTTTGGAAGGCACTCCAAGTTTGGAATGAAAGGTAAGAGGGGCTGCTTTTATTTCTTTACTTCAATGGGTTAGATTGTTGTTTTTTGTTTTTTTATACACACTATATACATTTACATAGGGACGCGGGTGGCGCTGTGCTCTAAACCACTGAGCCTAGGTCTTGCCGATTGGAAGGTCGGCGGTTCGAATCCCCGCGATGGGGTGAGCTCCCATTCTACGGTCCCAGCTCCTGCCAACCTAGCAGTTCGAAAGCACGTCAGAGTGCAAGTAGATAAATAGGTACCACTCCGGCGGGAAGGTAAACAGCGTTTCCATGTGCTGCTCTGGTTTGCCAGAAGCGGCTTAGTCATGCTGGCCACATGGCCTGGAAGCTGTATGCCGGCTCCCTCGACCAGTAAAGCAAGATGAGTGCCACAACCCCAGAGTCATTTGCAACTGGGTCCAGTCAGGGGTCCCTTTACCTTTACCTTTATATACATTTACATGTGTAAACTTTGTACAAAATACATACAGTATGCATGTTAACTCAGAAAATGGAAGGTGTATTTTAATGTACCTCCTGGAAGATACAGCAATTTTTCTCTCTATGATTCTTGAGGTTTGCAGTGCATAATAGCAGTACAAAGTGCTGGGCCCCTATAGCCTTTCTTCTACTAACAAATGTACACTGGGGCTGTGCTAAATGTTTGTATGTGTTTGTATGTTCTGGTACAAAGGCATTTTAAGGCAGCACAAATGCCCACTTCCTGAAATTCCCCTAAGTGCACCTTGGTCCCTTTATGGTCATGGGTGCTTTCTTTCTCTGCTTCTCCCTCAGCACCATTTCAGAGTGAGGCCATTACTTTCTATATCTCATTATCCATAGTCTCCATGGATGTGGCGAGTGCTCTAATACTTTGAGTGCATGTCACAGGAGGGGGAGGGTGGAACCACCAGACAATGAAGGTGTTTCTCAGCCAACAGAGTTGTGGGGGCTCCTCCTCCTGTGTCCTTCTGCCAAAGGTGTTTTGTCTTCAGTTTCCTACTATTCCAATGATTAATACAAATTGCTACTGAAAAACCGAACTGTTCATTTTCATTGCCGCTTCTTTCACTCTTCAGTAACCATTTTAACCATTACGCCATGATCAAATAGTTTGTGTGCTTATTCAGTAGTAGTGAGAGTTCTGTTTGCTCCCCCCCAAAAAAATATTTTTCATATAGGAAGTGATTTGGCAGCATTGGTCACTGATGTGATTAATTCTCTGTAAAGGAATAGAGAGGGGTCAAGATGCAGTTGTATATCAGTGGTTACTTTATCTTTTCTCATATTTGTCCAGTGAGTCTACCATATGTGGGCATGTCTACCATGTGTGGTAATATGCACCTGTTTCATCTTCATATTTCCAGGAACAGGTGATAACCTTTCACAGGTTATATGGTGTCACTTAATAAAACTTTCTCTCAGATGTGAACATAAATACAATCAATTTATATCCATACCAACTCCCTCCTGAGTAACTCTGTTTGAATGCACAATCATATTTCATACTGTGATTATTAGGGGAAAGATTTTTTTTTAAAATACAGCAAATTTGGATTTCCTATATAATTGTAATTCCTTTATATACAACCAGTGCTATTTTTCTAGAAAAAGAGGTGCTAGAACTCGCCATTAACACCTCCTTCATTCTCTTATAATGGCAATGGTGCCCCCCTTCCCCCTTAGAAGTGCTGGAATTGAGTTCTGGCTGAAAAAAGTCCTGTATAATACTATAGTTCAGCTACTTTAGAGATGCTGTCCTACACAAAGTAGATGCATTGAAGTTAATTGACGTGACTAATTTGGGATCATTAATTTCACTTTTATCAATTTTAGACCTAGCTGAATACAACTATATGTACAAGTCTATCTGTCCCATCACAAAAAAGCTACCGCAGACCCGAAAGGGGTTTAGAAGGGGCAACCAAAAGGCTTTAGAGGTTCATTTGGGACATCTACAAGGAAAGCCTAAAATGTCTGGAATATTTTAGGTGGGTTTTGTCTTGTGTTTTAAGGCAGCTGTTGGGTGACATGAACTCAGGATCATCCAATAAAGTTAATGGACGTAGATTCCGAACATACAAAAATCATTACTTCACATAATGAATGATCCATTTATGGAATTCACTGCCACAAGAGGTGGGGATAGCCCTTGGCTCGGATGGTTTTTAAAGTGGATTGGGCAAATTGGACTGTCAATTACTATCAGCTGTGGTAAATAAATAGAGCCTTCAGGTTCAGCAGTGGTATATGCCTGAATACCAGTTATGGGGAGTCAGTTTTGTGGGAGAGCTATGACCTTCATGCCCTGCTTGTAGGCTTTTCAAAAGCATCTGGCTAGTGGCTGGAGAAGTTCAAGCAATGGCCACTTATTTGGGAATCCGGGGAAGTAGTGGTTACAGCCACAGCCTGGTCAGGCCATCTTCACCATGGAATGACCAATTGGGGACATCAGAGCCTCTCCTGCGGTGGCGCATCTCAGCAGGAAGTGCCCATTTGAACAGGTCAACATGAGACCAGCTGGAGGCATGGCTGAAGTGGTAGGCCAGGGCATCACTCAGGTCCATCCAATTTTTATAAGTTCAGGCTGCACGCGGGCTTCCCAGCACAGATCAGCATTGGTTCTTATCTTGGCTAACTATGCTGAGTGTTTTGATTATGCATGTAGCCCCTTCACGAGGCCATCAAACAGGGTCATACGACTTGCAAATAATTTTTCAAGTTCTGTAAATTCCCTTGAAGATGCTGACTTCTCAGTTTGTCAACATAAACTTTTATTTGCAAATATCCAAACCACAGAAAAGTTTTATTTCCCATATAAAGTTTTATTTCCCATATAGAGTCTGTCAAGACAGGCCCGTACGGGCAGGGGTACCTTTACCTTTACCTTTTATACAGTGGGACGTGGGTGGCGCTGTGGGTAAAAGCCTCAGCGCCTAGGGCTTGCTGATCGAAAGGTCAGCGGTTCGAATCCCCGCGGCGGGGTGCGCTCCCGTTGCTCGGTCCCAGCGCCTGCCAACCTAGCAGTTCGAAAGCACTCCCGGGTGCAAGTAGATAAATAGGGACCGCTTACTGGCGGGAAGGTAAACGGCGTTTCCGTGTGCTGCGCTGGCTCGCCAGATGCAGCTTTGTCACACTGGCCACGTGACCCGGAAGTGTCTCCGGACAGCGCTGGCCCCCGGCCTCTTAAGTGAGATGGGCGCACAACCCTAGAGTCTGTCAAGACTGGCCCGTACGGGCAGGGGTACCTTTACCTTTACCTTTTATACAGTTTGATTTTATCATGGCTAAGAAATCCAGTTTCATGACCAAGGTCTATATATCTATTCAGTCAGACATTTTATTTCGTTCATCAGAGGTCACTACAGTCCCTCTAATGGCAAGGAAATACCTTGAGAAATAAGATACATTAAAAATGATAAGAAATGGTTTCCAAAGAAGGTACAGTAATTTATCTCTACAAGCTATATTTACCTTAACTTACAACTTCACAGGTCGCTTTGGAAGTTTAAAGCATTATAATTTATTAAAGCTGCTGTTGGGAAGGCTACAGACAACCCATATTTTTGGGTTCTTTCTCAAATAGCTTTGACGTATGGAAATGTTATGTTTATGGAGTAACTTTTGAAAAACCACACAAAAAGAGGTTTTGTTTACAAAGAGCCCTGTTTTGGCTCAATCTTTGTAAGACCAAGGGAAGCTGCATAAATAGGATTTAGATTTTTAAAAGTTTGTGATCATTAAAGGTGTGTATCCAAACAGGGTGGTTTTAGGAAGATTTCCATGTTCCTGAGTTGGATTGTGTTGTTGACAAGGCATCTTGAGTCAGATCAGGGACTCCCTAATCTTCCAAGCTGCTATGTGGCTTCAGCTGTCCAGAACATGCCCAACTTCCTTTTGCTTTTCCCCCTGAAAAACAAAACCAAATTGACTGCATAAGTACCCAGAGCTCGAGAGGGATGGAGGTGAAGAGCTGGGGGGGGGCAGGGGCTTGTCTTCTCATTCACGATAGAATAGAGTGTTAAAACCAAAGTCTTTAAAGAGCCTAGGTCTATCAATCCAGTTTGCTCGACGTGTTTAGAAAAAGAATTACCGTATTTTTCGCTCTATAACACGCACCAGACCATAACACGCACGTAGTTTTTAGAGGAGGAAAACAAGAAAAAAATATTCTAAATGAAACAGTGGATGTATGATTTTTGTGGTTCATGCTGTGGCCACAGACATGTGATCTGACGGTGAATTTGGGGTAGCCCAATGCAAAAATCCTGAGGATCCATGTGGATCCATGCTAAAGTCACCCTAAAGTCGCAGGGGCACTGGGGGAGTGAACGGGAAGCAAGAGAAGGAGAACAATGCCTCTCTCTCTCTCACACACACACACACACAGAGAGAGAGAGTATCAATCCTAAAGTTGCAGGGGCGCTGGAAGTCGCAGGGGCGCTGGGGGAGTGAACAGGAAGCAAGAGAAAGTGAACAATCCCTCTCTCACACACAGACACACAGAATATCAATCCTAAAGTCGCAGGGGCGCTGGGGGAGTGAACGGGAAGCAAGAGAAGGAGAACAATGCCACACAAACACACACACACACAGAGAGAGAGAGAGAGAGAGAGAGAGAGAATCAATCCTAAAGTTGCAGGGGCGCTGGAAGTCGCAGGGGCGCTGGGGGAGTGAACGGGAAGCAAGAGAAAGTGAACAATCCCTCTCTCACACACAGACACACAGAATATCAATCCTAAAGTTGCAGGGGCGCTGGAAGTCGCAGGGGCGCTGGGGGAGTGAACAGGAAGCAAGAGAAAGTGAACAATCCCTCTCTCACACACACAGACACACAGAATATCAATCCTAAAGTCACAGGGGTGCTGGAAGTCGCAGGGGCACTGGGGGAGTGAACGGGAAGCAAGAGAAGGAGAACAATGCCACACACACACAGAGAGAGAGAGAGAGAGAGAGAGAGAGAATCAATCCTAAAGTTGCAGGGGCGCTGGAAGTCGCAGGGGCGCTGG